CCTTTAATCTCAGCACTAAGGAGGTGGAGGCAGGAGTGATATGGCTGGGTGGAAAGAGGAACATAAGGAGGAGGAGAGAGCAGCTCATGGAAATCTGCTGTAGTCTCATGAGCAGTGCACTCAGAGAGCACATTAAAGGAGGAAGGAGACAGGGACTCAGTGCAGTCTAGGCAGTCTGAAGTTTGGTGGAGACAAATGCACTCCAGAAATGCAATCGGAAGACAGAACTGCGCCCTTTGGTTTGAGGTAGAGGTAAGGGCTTGTGGCTGGCTGCTTTGCTTCTCTGACGTTCACCTTTAACCTTAAAGTCTGTCTCTAGGTTTTTATTATTAAGAACAATTCGAATTCATGTTACAGAGGATCCACAAAATAGAACTCTCAGCTACCTCTCCAGCATCATGTGTACTTGCATGCTGCCATGCTCCCCATGATGATAAGTGAACTAAACCTCTGAACTGTAAGCCTCAATGAAATGTTTCTCCTTTATAAGAGTTGCCATGGTCACGGTGTCTCTTCACAGCAATAGATCACTAAGACTAGCTCTGAAAATTATAAAAGAATATATTGCTATACTGCTATGTTATAAGCCACTGCATCTGTGCTAATACATTGCCATAACCTTAGGTAACTAAAATGGCCCAACACTGAGCAAAAGCACAGTTAGAAAATACACAGAATATATGAACGGACATCTCACCAAAGAGAAGACATAAATGCAAATAGCCCCAGGGAAAGATCAAACTTTTAATTATAAAGCACATTAAAAACTGTAATGAGATTCCCCCTATGCATCTATTAGAGAGCTAAAAATCTAAACAAATAACAATGTAAAGCAATTAGAATCTTAGTGTTTTTTTCACCACAATACAAATCCGGTGTCAACCTTAAACTTCCATTGTTTCTTATAGAATTAAACACGTGTTTATCACTGTATTCACCAATCTCAAACAACTGGGTATCCAGGGGAAATGAAGTCCCATTAAAAATCTATATGCAAACATTTATGTAGTTTATCCTTGATCTTGCCACACTAGGAATGGTCCAAATGTCCTTCTGTTAAGGAAGCCACTCTTGTGATGATGAGACATGACTGTGTACATTTTGCAAGAGGCATAAAAGTATGTAACCAAAAGGATACATTTTTATTTAAATACATTTTGTCTCAAGACATAAAAGAAAGTTTGATATAAACACTAAGTTAGTAGAAATTACAATACAGATTAATAGTTATTGCTGAACTTGTACTAGGATTAGTGTTGGTCCTACCTACTAGACATACACACTCTATGAAGAAAGAACACATTTTGTTCCCATGCACTGAGGACAAACATGCCACTTAGTAGATGCTCAATAAATATTTATTGAATAAATGCTTAAATTTTCATTATATAATGATGCCATTAGAATTTCTCATACTCTCAAGAATACTCCTGATCTTAGAAAACTTACAATCTAAGACTAGGGAGGGACACAATCACAGAATGAAAGAGCATCACAGTGGTATCAGGAGAAAGCTGAAGACAGGCAAATGGCTTTTCAGTAAGTGGAGGTGTTAGGGTTAGACTGTATAGACTGTACCTTAACTTTAGAGCTTGTGTCTAGAGAAGACATTTCATGGCTCTCTCTAGAATCAGTGGTCCTCAAAACTCAGAAAAGATTCTCTGAAGCCATCACAGCAAAATCTTTTGTTCTTAATGCGCTTACAAATTCTTCCCACTCCTGAGTTGTTCCATGAGTCTGCCCAGATAAGTGCAAGCTCTACTTTGAGGAAGACTGATGTTGTCCCACTGATGCAGAGGTGGGAGCCAAGACTCTCACTGCAGGCCCTCATTAGCTAAGGACTCCCAAGGGTTTTTGGCTCCCTGTCACTGTATGTGTCAGCTGCTAAGGACATGGTGGTTGCACAGGTCCCAACAGCTGCAGGCCTTGGCGTACGGCAAGTGTTCACTGTGCTGTCCAAAGGCCTTAGTTCCATGGCAGGTTTTCTGCCCTCACTTCTTCACAGCAAACAGTTTTCAGCCTCCAGGCCCTTGATCTCCAAGAGTTTTCTCTCGGAAGACCCCCTGTTCCACCACACTCCCAACCCTGCATTCTTTGCCAACAAGCACCACAAAGGTGGAAGCTAGCTCCAAATCGTTTTCTTTATGAATTTGATCCTCTCACTTTTGGAATAATTGTTGCTGATCATTCCTAAACTGTTACTGCAAGCTCTTTGCCAATATTCATTATCTTTCCATAAGGAGGAAATTTACTCATTAGTTAATGGTACTATAATTCCTGCTGTGTCCCTTCCTGTCAATTGATGAAGACTTAATTTACCTTTTTAGTAACAGTCTTCTCATTTACTCATTAGATGAACAGGATTGCCTTATCAGTGTGACCTAGTTTATGCCTCAAGTCAAATAATGTGATGTTTATCAAAGAACCATGTTATGGAGTTTGCTTTCAAAATGGCAAGACTAGCCATTTGGACAAGATACTGGACTGTTTGACTGTATGCTGTATAAACTGGACATGCAGGACCCACAGAAAAGTGACTGCTGATACAAGATGGACATTGCTATAGGGTTCCTGCATCATGGAAGAGTCTGCCAGACAGTCTACAGGGCACAGAGAAAAGTGACTGACAAACTGCCAATACAGGTGGACAGTTTAAAGTTTCCTGCTTTGCTGAGGAGTCTGCCAGACACACTGTAGCCTATAGGCTGAAGATGGAACATTACAGAAGAACTTCGGGTGACTAACCAGTTGAGTTGTCTCTATCATATCTAGAGTTTCTATATTATCCTGTGGTCTTTGAAGGAATTGAAAACAGATAGTTATGGTTATAGTTTTCTTTGGTTGGGATTAAAGATAAGTTACATATAGGACTTTAGACTCACAAAGATAGGATAGATGATAGAATATTTTCTTTAAATCTTTCTAAATGTTAGTGAACTAAATATTGTTAACTGTGGTTCTTATTTGATAGCTTTTTGCTATATATTTTACTATGTTGTAGTTGAAACCCTTCTTTTTATTTTAGACAGGAAAGAGGAGATGATGGGAGATGCCATTCTGTAAATATGTTTCTCATATTGGTTAATTAATCAAACACTGTTGGCCAATAGGGACGCAAGATAGGCGGGATGAGGAGAGAAGGAGGATTCAGGGAGAGATTCAAAATGTAGGACAAATAGAACAGAGGTCCCGGAACCCTCTCTGGTAAGGTAAGACCACGTGGAAATATTTACATTAATAGAAATGGGTTAATGTTTAAGACAGAGCTAGCCGATAAGAACAGGCCAACAACATTTATATCTAATACAGCTAATCTTTGTGTGTTATTTGGGGCTGGTGTAGCAGTGGGATAAGACCGGCCTTATATCTAAAATTTAAAAAAAAGTGATGTTTAGCTGTTAAAGTTCCATTAGTTTATTTAGAAATACCAAACTTGTTCTCAGAACACTCATTAAGTTTGTGGGTCCCCAGGGTTTTAAGGACCAAGGGGTGGATTAGCAAGATCAGGAATTAGCAAAGTGTTCTGCAAAGAACCCTTTATCACCACATCTGATAGTATAGCTCTGTAATCGAAGCCAATTGACAGGCTGAGACAGAGACTGAGTCCAAGGCCTGTCTGGACTATGGAATGAGTGAGTTCAAGGATGGCTTGAATAAGTGAGTGAGACCCTGTGTCAAATTTTAAAAGGGTGTGGGGTGTTCTGGGAATATTTGTTCTGTGGGAGAGCACTTATCCAACATGCTACAAAGGTCCTGGTTCCCAACCCCCTACTTAAACCTACTCCAAATCCACATAGAAAATATTTTAGGATTTGTGGAACATACCACTTATATCACATCTCCCCCATCATTGCCGATGTAGAGACAATTCAGATGAGCATGCATGACTCAGTTAAAAAAAAAAATCTACTTATGAACACTAGGATTCGAATGGTATGAGTTGTTTGTGAGATATCATTCTTTGACATTTTCCCACCACTCAAAGTGGAGAAAAGCTGGCTACAGACTCCATGTAATTGATTGGCTGCCCAGTGTGTCACTCCCGGTGCCCAGCTCCACACTTTCTGGGTTCATCCATTAAGTTCACCTAAGGATCTGCATGAGGCCTGGGTTATTTTTTAAACCGAAACTCAGGTTTCCTGTTGCTCAATCCAGGACCAGCTGCTGGTTTACTTAAGATTTCAGGTATGCTTAGAATCCCATGGAGCAGAAAATAGGTATGCGGTCAGCAGCCCTTTCCAGGCGTGACCATGTAAGGACTGTCCTTGTATTAGCAGCCAGGGGCAACCTAATTTTGTTAAGTGTGTCCTAGGGCTAACACACCCTTTTCTGTTGGTGCCTCTAGGGTTGCCTGGGAGCATAGTCCCATCTGTCCTTGCTATTTTTGAGCCCCTGTTGTCTCATTGGCGGCTTTCTCAGCAGCTGCAAAACATACTTTTAACTCTTAAGTGGAAGTTTGGGTCACCTGTTAGCAACGTGGAACAGTCACTCTCAGCAAGGGCTCTTTCAGCGGAGGATTCTCTAGTTTTACGGACTCGGGTGAGTGTTCAATGAACTCTGAACTTCCTGCTGGGCTATCAAGGCAGGCAGGAATGAATGAGGTCTTTGCTCATGGGCTGGCGGAATAATGTGCTTTGCTTTTTGTGTTGTGGGAAACTGCTGGGTTGCCTAGCACCGCAGCTGACAGCCGGGCCTTGCTTTCAACGGTTCCTCTACCTCGGCTCAGCAGGCCCCCGTGGCACCGCAGGCCGGACCGAGCTGCAGACGAGAGGCACTGGGCCTGGAAGGACGATGCTGCGCGGGAAGTCCCGGCTCAACGTAGAGTGGCTGGGCTACTCGCCCGGCCTGGTCCTGGAGAAAGATCCGCTCGCAGCAGCAAGAAAACAACGGGGTCCACGCGGGTAAGTCACGTGAGTGCCGGCGCCCCACGCCTGCGCGCGCTGCCTAGTCGCGTCACCACGCCGCGCCGCACCTGCGTGCTTCGCTCAGATACTTCCGGTGCGACCGGCCTAGTACTGCCACCCTCCAAGCTGCCGCCGAACCCTGCCGGTTACCTAGAGTCTGCTGCTGCCCTCGCGGCCACGCCATGGAGCGCCTTGATAAAGCAGCGCTGAACGCGCTGCAGCCCCCAGAGTTCAGGTATTTCTGAGTCCCGCTCGGTAGCCATGGCGGTTCGGCCCTGGCCTGGCCTGGCCTAGCGTGCACCATAGGGAAGGGAGGAGCCAAACGGGGTGGGCTTGGGTTAGGCCCCTCCGCGGTCAGCTGCAAGCTGATGAAGAGGGAAAATAGTTTGGAGCCTGCAGCGTCTGAACAGATGGCCCACCTTTCACCTAAATGGGCAGGCCTTCAGCTCTTGCTTCCTACATTACCTCTCCCTGTTGTTTGGCGAGCTTGCTGGTTTGTGGTCTCTCCTGTTCCAGGCGTGCTCTCACAGACACCCGGTCACGTTCATCTTGAGACCTTCCAGGGCCTACACATTTTGTAAATAACTTGTATGAATGGAGTAGAGGCTGGCCCTAGTGTGAAGCTGCTTCTCTTGAATGGAATCAGTTACTAGGCTGGGTGGGGACTAGTGACTGAACAGAAGCAAATATTAATTGACATCATAAGATTTCTTAATTCTTAGTTTAGTTAACTACTTAGTTTTCAGCTTTAGAAGAAAAGGAAGTTGAACTCAGATGAGTCACACAATTAGACCACACTGTTACTATGCCTTGAAGATGGGCATCTGACCACACCTACTGACTCCAAAACACTCTTCCAAAACACTCTCCAAAACACTCTCGTGACGTTAAGGGGGATTTTCTTTTGGTAAAGTTGACCGTTTATGAGAATACAAATGCTATTCATACTAAGCACAGTAAGAATACAGTATAATGTCTACACTGTTAGTAGCGGCTTCTAATGGAATTTTCAAAGAAATCTTAAAAGAATTCTGCTGTAAGTCTTGACTGTCACACAAAGGAATGTGCTGATCTCTGTCTGTTCAGTGTTTGGTGCGGAAATTTGAAGTAGGAAAACCAAAAAGTGTTAACGAGTAGGAGCTTGAGAAGGTTCATTGGGGACGTTCTTTTTGTATGGTTAATATTAATTTTGGTTTTCCCATCCATTCCTCATTTCTTACAGGTCTCAGCATCTCAGCAACTTTCAGTCAGAGATAAAAAATAAATCAATCAAATGGTATCCATTTTTTTAACAATATGTCACTGATTCTGCCTCACCTGGTTTATGCCAACAGTACCAACAGGTGTGGAGAGAGGGCTATGGCTAGAAGCAAGACAAGGAAAAAAGGGGGTATAAACACTAGGGAAAGTTGGTTAGTTATTTTCTTTTATATTTGTATCATTAGCTTTGACTATCTAGTCATGTGCTTTGGACATTGTGGACAATGACAGACTGCAAGTGTGTTCCACTGGATTGTATTAACTACTGCTACTTAAGCCATCTTACTTTGTATGAGTACACCCTGTGATGTTTGTGGAATGACAGAATCATCTAAAAACACATTCCTCAAAAAATATTTTCCTGTTCTTAAATGGTGGATAACTACTCAATCTTAAATTACTGAGCTTATCACAGAAAAGAATAATTAAAAATTTGAAGTTTAAAGAGAGTAGTAAAAAATGTACTGAAAATAATAGGGCGGGCACAGATCCCATTATGACAGCTGGGAATCCAGCATGGGACTGACCCAGACCCCCTGAACTTGGGTGACAGGATAGCTGGGCAGTCTATAGGACCTCTGGCAGTGGATCCAGGATGTATCTCCCACATGTGCAAAGAATGTAATCAAGACAGAAAGTTTACTACTGTGCAGTTTTAAGAGACATAATAATTTTCTTCTTGTGCATTAGCTATTTACAATTAGTGGCCTTGGGGCTCTGCTACTTTATTGAACTTTCACCTATAGTTTCATATTTTCTCTCCCACCCATGGTTGCCATTGTTTTATTCTTTTTATAGATTTAGTCATTTTTTAATATTTTATATATATATATATATATATATATATGGAATTGTAGAATATGTTTACTCTCATTGTATGTGTGCGCTTGCGCGCACGCACTCATACACACACACACACGAATGCATGTGCACACAGAGATAAAGAAATGGCTGTATCTGTATAGAGTTCTTAGCCAGATAGGCATAGGGCACAATGCTACACTAAATTTACTCAAAGCTTCCTTCATCATCTGTATGTCCTGTCCCAATACTGCTATCAAGCTACCCATTTTAGGCTTTTATTTGGAGTTTCATAGCATAGCCATTAATACCTTTGTCTTTTCTGTTTACTGGTCCAGTCCTCTAGTTGGAGCAGAAGCATGTACAGTCCTTGGGGAGGAGCAGTTTGCAGGCAAATGGGTGTTGGGTTTTTTTCCCATGAAATTTCAGGGTTAAGCGTGCCGGTGAGTGCCAAGCTGAGGGTCAGGGTCAGGTATACTATGCGCATGTGCATGCTCGCTCCTTTGGCATGTTTGGGAAGGAAGAAGCTATTTGCCTCTGAATTCTTTTATCTTCAGGAGGGTAATTATCATGTTTGGATATGGCTTGTGAAAATTCTGTTTTTTTCACTTCTTCTAGAAATGAAAACTCGTTAGCTTCAACCCTCAAGACACTCCTGTTCTTCACAGCTTTAATGATCACAGTTCCTATTGGGTTGTATTTTACAACTAAGTCTTACGTATTTGAAGGTAATTTTTACATGCTTGAGGACATTTTTCATTTATACTTTGTTTAATGCTTTTATGAATCTTTTTATTGTAAACTTGTTATTCCTTTTGTAAACTTGTTATGTCTCTTTGTGGTGATGCATGACTATAATTCTTGGCAGGTGGAGGCAGAGTTAAGGCTGTATAAAAGAATTGGTGACCAAGCTGGGCTACATGAGACCCTGTCTCCAAAAAAAAAAAATTAAAAATTTTTGGATATGTATTACACATAATGTATTACTTTAAATGCTTTACACGAGTTTATCTATAGAATCCCCACAAAACTTCTGAATTAATTTGTAGTATTTTATAAATGTGGTACAAAACAGTTAAATGATTGTGGTCTGCACTACAAAGGGTGGAAATGGGAGATGAAAACAGGGTAATTCCAAGATCTGTGTCATGGGCATTCTTCCCTTGACTTGCCTTATGACACTACGGAACTGTGACTTGTCTTTCCTATGTTATAAAGGTGGAACTATAAACTAAAGCAACATTTTCTCTCATTGCTCTTAAATATCTGCCTACTTGTATAAAATTAGATTTGTGCTACAAATGTGCATAAGAAATCATGTTGATGTTAAAAATAAACAACCATTGGTATTTTCTGATTTCTATAGAGCAACCTTTCATGTAGAACTAATTTTAAGCTATAAATAATTTTTTATAAGTGCCTGTCATTGTATTTTACACGGGGTTATATTTTTTTTTCATATACGTTTTTTATGGCAGCCAATGGTACAATGTCAAGAAAATTTCCTAATAGCTAGTGTGAATTTCAAAATGTAAAACTGGGTATGATAGTAGATACCTGTAATACTGGTACTTAAGAATGAGACAGGAGATCTCACGTTCCTAGTCACCCTGGCCTAGAGAGTGAGATTTTGTATCTATTTGGGAACAGAAAGAAGAGGAGGAGGAAAATACCATATTATCTCTGCTCATTCTAACAAGCCATTCTGTCTCTCATGTACATTTGTTTTTTGTCTTCTTTTTCTTTTTACGACTTCATTTTTTATAGTTCTTTTTATTTTATATTTTTATTATTTCTTTTACTTTTTGAAATACAATATACATTTTTTCATTTCTCCCTTCCCTCCCGCCAAAAGCTCCCATATTCCCCTCCTTGCTATCTTTCAATTTCATGATCTTTTTTTCATTAATCCTTTTGTATGTCCCTAAATAAATAAGTACAGCATGTTCAGTCTGCATAATTTTACTTGTATGTATATATTTTCCAGGTTGCCCATTTGATAGTGAATATCCAATTGGTGTGTTTTTCCCTGTGGAAATTTTTTTTCTCTCACTCTTAGCTTTCCTTAGTTGCCTGAAGTTCTTTGCAAAGGGTGAGGCATCTTGGGCTTTTCTGCATTCATATTAGCATATTTATTATTGTTATTGTTGTTCAGCTCTTTTAGGCAGTCATGTTGGTGAGACTTTAAGGATATAGCTTGTGACGTTACTAGGAGGCACAATCTCATAGCAAACTCCTTATTCCTCTGCCTCTTACAGTCTTCCTGCCCCTTCTTTTGTGCTGTTGCCTGAGCCTTGGGTGTGGGAATTATTTTTTGATAATATTCATTGGGACTAGGTTACAGAACCCTGTGTTTTGATTCGTTGTTTTCTGTACTGGTCTTCATTCCAAACAAAATTTTTTAAGTCTTTGAGTTTTGCAGTTTGGTAAGTGTGGAATAAGATGAATTTTTTTCTTTTTTGATAGGTGCCCTTGGAATGTCCAATAGAGACAGCTACTTTTATGCTGCAATTGTTGCCGTTGTTGCTGTCCATGTGGTTCTGGCCCTGTTTGTCTATGTGGCCTGGAATGAAGGTTCAAGACAGTGGCGTGAAGGCAAACAGGATTAAAGTGAACATCACCTTTTGATAGCATGGAATTTATTTTTTGACTATGTTAAGTACTTCTGGGATATTGATAATAAGTACATTTTGTTTGAATAAAGTTGAAAACATCTTAAAATCAGTCTTAAGTAGTCAGTCGCATTTGGCTAGATTTTGACCCACCCAATAATATGGTCACTTTGAACTTTGAATCAGCATTTTCAAATGAAAATTTGGAAAAGTTAAATAGTTACAAATGTGTATGTTAAGAGAGTTATATCGTATCCTAGGACAAATTTAATTACCTTATAACAACAAAAAATGTATATCAATTTGCCTTATACTTGCTTTTCAGTTTTATTTATTTGGGTAGATTCGAATTTCCTGTGGAAAGTTACCTAAATTGTAGGCAGTGTAGATAATCTGCATGTCACTGAGGAATGATAACTCTCACATTCCATTTAATGGGGAAAGTGGCTGAAATCACACTCATTCATACAAAGAATTTAGGATTACTGAGACAAGGAATTGAGCTGGTTGTCAGCATTGTGCTTATCATACTAACACTGTGTCCTCATTTTTATTTGAAATTAGGCTTCAGTTGAAAAGTTTATCAAAATCCCATTTAATGTGTTGTCCTACTTTCAAATAGATAATGTATGATAAGTATTAGAATGCCAAAATATTAAGCTTTCACACATGAGTGTATCCAGTCTTGAACACATCAGATTTCTTAGGAGGTATTCTTGGAGCTTGTGTTAAGTTTCATCCTGTATTTATAGATAATCCTTCAAGTCTTTTTTGATGAGAACACCCCATGCCCAGAAACAAAAGCCCTGTTAGCTTGCTTCGGTACCTTCAGTACTTGGTACTGTGTGTATGTAATCTAAAAATGGTGTCCCCAGATATTTATTTCTTATTACAGCTTCATAATATGTGTTCTATAAAACACGGGAAAAATACATACTAAAATAGAAAGTAATAATTTGACCGTTATGTTACTACCTGCAGATCATCAGTAGTTTAGTCCACAACCCCCATGCAGTTTTGAAAGATGTTTCTTAGTGATGGTTCCATACACAGTACAACCTTGGTTTAAGTTTTGATCTTGCCAACTTCACCAAAGAGCTGTTTGCAGTATTTCAGATATTTGATAACTTTCCATTGTCTTACAAATACATTCTATCTTTAGTCTTCTAAAATTCAAATTTTAATGTTTTTACCATAAAGTTAAATTTTGAGATAACTCAATTACTGTATAACATGTACATATAGCAAAACATTACATGAGACAATATAAGCTATATGCTTTTTGTGTTTATATATCAGTTAAATTTAATTGTAAAAATAAAAGTTCAAATACCTGTTACTAATAATCCTAATATAATGAATGTCCTTGCTTAAATGTTTGCCATTATTGACTTGTTTGTCTGCTGTTATTTTTATGCTGTGGAACTAGACTAGAGAAATAGAGAGGTGATTAGACATAAAGATATATTTGTGTTATATTATTATTGCAAAAATTAATTAATGTGCTTATTGAAGGATTGTTCTTAATTCTTAAATTTAACTGTTGTGTGTAATTTGTATTTAAAACAGTATTTTAAATATAAGGGTCTTTATTTTGTAAAGACAGCAATGTTTAGTATCATGATATTTGAGTCTGAGACATTGTGTGCTAGATTTCTAGATGGTTACTTTATTAGGAAGCCTATTATTATATTTAGAATTGTCCACTCAATTTCTTCTTCTATAATGCTGAGGGTTTTTCCCCTTGTAATTTAGGGATCTTGTACTATTTGTAAAATACACTGTTGGGTTATTTTGTTTGATTTCAAACATTGATAACTAAATAATGGTACAGGTCATTTAAAGTGTTTTAACCAGGGATACATGTAAACACATGTAATTTTCCCTTGGGAATAAAGTACAATGTGTTTGAACATTAAAATCAAATATTCACATTGATACCTAGAATTATTACAGAATAGATTTGTTTTCAAAGCTGTTAATTGTTCTCTAGGATTTTGACTGCTCATGCATGATTTTGCTGCTGTTAGCTATGTTAATGATTGTGGTGTTTGACATATAGACATTTTTTTTCAAAGTTTCTAACTAGTTTCCTCTTGCACAAAGCACATATTTCATGATGTATTAGAAGAAAAGCTATAGTTGAACTGTTAAATGTTTTCCGGCAGGAATATGTTCACTGATGTTGAAAACCTGATTGTAATAGTAATCTCAATTAGGGAGTATAACTTGAAATGTCAGTTCAAGCTACTAATTTTACCCCATTTATTGTAACAATACCTTCCTCATCTTTTGATTTTTCTCCTAAATAATTTTTCCCCAATACTGAAGAAATGGAAGTCTGCCGTAAGATGCATCTGCTATCATTCATTCTTCAAATGGCTGCCAATTCATTTGTTACAGTAGCATTCTGGTTTGTAATGAGTGTAAAGAATTTTAAGTCTGCTATTCAAAATAACTGGGTGTTTCATGGGAATCTAGTAGTAATTATAATAACTTGAAAGTTTACAGCAGAAAAGTCATACTGAGCCAGCTGTGGTGGCATATACCTATAATACCTGTATTTGGAAAGCAGATGCAGGAGGATCAGGAGTTCAAAACAAAAATTTGGCCTTACCGAAAGAAGGAACGAATGGGCTTGTATTTATTTTTATAAAAATTTTAGATAGATGAAACATTCAAATAGGTCACTAAAAGTATTTTGACAAGTAAGATGCACCTAAGGAAGGCTAAAGGTACAGGTACAGGAAAGAAAGGATTGAAATCCTGTTTTACATGTATCCACTATGTCTCCAGTTAGTTTCATATTTAGTGCCTAGGCATAGCAAATTTGTAGACTTGTTAGGCCCATTTGATAATTGGTTCAATGATGGCATAGTATTTGTCACTTGTCTTAGGCCAACGGCAGGTTTCTTTCCTCTCAAGTGTTCTCTCATTCACTAGTAAACTATACAACCATTCCGATTATACTCCTGGCTTTTAAGTTCATTTTCACCAGAGTTGTGCTGCAGTGCACTCTGATAGCTTGACAAATTTTCCCCCCCAGGGGATGGAGTTAATCATAAAAATAAATTACTCTAATAGGCATTGGGAAGCTGCCCATCAATACATAACTTGTGAATAGCTTAACCCTTCATTCCTTAGAGAACTCTAGAATCTCTCCATATCACTGCCAGCCATGCTTACACATGTGTTAATTGCTATGTGTGCTTGAAGTAGCTGTTCTTTTTAAGATGTTTTGTAAGTCATATTGTCAGGTATACAATCTAGTCTTCCTTCCACGTTTGGTGAAATCTCACTGAACAGGAATAATAGCAATAGCTAACAACATCTGCACAGCACCTTACAGTTTGCAAAGAACGTTCACATATTCTTGTCTGAGTTTGCATAGTGAACATGTTACAGAGATGTCCCTTGATGTCAATGCTGAGTGTTAGAATTTTCAGTCACCAGTGTCACTGGCTGTGCTATGGCCACTGGCTGGGGGTGGGGTGGTGGGTGGGAGTGCCAATGCAGTCTGTAAAGCTTGTGTCATCATAATGAGCCCTGGATTTCTTAGCCACTTGCATCAGACTGACTTGTTAAGTGATGCATTTCTAGTCTTTTCCTAAATGGGTTTTGTATTCAGTATATTGTAGCCTGTAATTTGTATTAATTTACCACCTGTTGTCATTAAAAACGTATGTGTAATGCTATTGTGTCCTCATTCAGTGGATATTGTTTTGTTATGTTTTTGCATCTGTTTATAATGTAATGTGCAGAGCGCAGTTTTTAAATGTGTGCTTTCTTCTGTGTGTGCCATACAGCATAAGAGTGGAGCTGTCAAGGATGTTTACTATATCACATATAAGTAGAATGGAGATATTTGGGTTGGGATGGATTGGTTATATTCCAACTAGAGTGAGCCAGTTAGAATTGATGTGAAGATAGGTTAAAGAAGGCTTTCTCCGGCCAGATGTGGAGGTACACACCTGTAATCTCAGCACTTGGGTGGTGAAGTTCAAGTTCATCCTGAAATGCATACTAAGTGTGAAGCCACACTGTGCTACATGAGATCCTGTTTGAAAACACAAATTAATCTTGTAAGTTTGGGGGAGTAAATGGATTTCAAATACCACTAAAGGAATGAGGTTGAAAGGTATTTGAGACTAATTAAGAGAAGAAAATTCCAGGGGAACATCAGCATCACAAGACACAATCATGACTAATTTCCTGCATCTTGTTTATTACACCGACTTCAGCTCCTTTTAGTGCTCCCGAGGACTCCAACTAATCCTTAGTAATAAATACCATCTCATTCCAGCTATCATTTGAAAGGTCTTAGTTTCAAAAGAACAGATAATGAGATGTCCAGGAAGCTCAGGACACAGGTAATAGCACTATAGAAACCAAAAATGCTCCTTCTATGGTTACTGGAACCAGAGTGTGGAATGCAATTAAAAACTACCAACTGTGCAAATGTAACCCAGACCTTTTAACTCCAAACCTCTGAGGGTGAAGCCTGGAAATCAAGGACAAGTTAGTGGGCTCTCATGTGCCTCCTGATGGAACCTGCTAGAACACATTTTCAGTTTTGTCTCTAAATGGGCATTTTTAAATGCTGGAATTGAAGATATTTGTTTAAAATATGACTATGCTTTACAGTAATTATTTATGTTAATCTATGAGGACTATGCCCTAAGAAATAGGGAGGTCCCAGTACAGTCTCCCTGTACCAAAATTTGTCAGTTGTGATTAAGAAGAGGACCAAATGCAGTAGTTCTTTCTCCTATCTGTACTCGTGGGTGTATGTTCCTGGGACTCTCTAGCTCTGAAGCCCTATAGCATTCCCATTTTCATGTCTCTTACTCTTTCTGTCACCAGTGCACCTGCTTATCGTTGCACATCTCAAGTCCCTTATGTAAAACGGCAGAGTATTTTTCTAGAATGTACACAAATCCTTTTGTACACTTTGTCACATGTAGACTGTTTATAATACCTAATACCATGCAAATTCTATATAAATAGTTGTCATAGTGTTCTTCCTATATTGTATGGAGCACAATATAAAGAAAATCTATCCATTTTCAGTACAGTTAAAATTTTCCAAAAATTTCTATCATCAGTAGCTGATAAAATTCATACATAGGTAAGCCACATATGTGGAGGGCCAGCTATATTTCTGTATTTCCGTAGCTCCTACTTAAAAACAGTCCTGTTTGTCCACTCCTATTCTCCTTGGACCAACTAAAATTTAAAAGTGAGTAAATAGGGAAAATTAATAGAGCTCAATAAATGAAACAAGCCAAAAAAGTTAAACCAATCTTTCAAACGAGTTGGCCAAGGGGATTTGATGGAATGGCCAAGATTCACATTCTCTTCCTCACTCTGTTTGACCACTATAGAAGATATAAATGGGATGGGACAATAACTCCATTCCCTATATATTTGGACTTCTGTAACAAAGCATTACTCAGTCAGTGGGTTCACCTATTGTAAAGCAGGGTTTCACGGCACACTGCTATGATCCCAGTGCTCAGGAAGTGAAATCAGGAGAAGTATAAGTTCAAGTTCATCCTGGGTTAAAGTGCAAGTTTAAAGACAGCCTGAGATACATGAGACTGTGAAGGAGAGGAGAGAGAAGAAAGGGAGAGAGAGAGAGAGAGAGAGAGAGAGAGAGAGAGAGAGAGAGAGAGAGAGAGAGCTATATTTCTTCAAAATGCTAGAGGTCAGAATTATGAGATCAAGGTGTGGTTAGAGTTGATTTTCCGGAGCCTCTCTCCTTGGCTTGCAGATGTATGTTTGATGTTTTTCCTGTCTTCAAATGAGTAATCCTCTCTGTAAGTTTATCTTAATCTCAGTTTATGAGGATCCCTGTCACACTGCACTAGGACCTTTCCTTAAAGAAAAAAATCTGAGATGAATATGAGAAGTACTTAACTTGGCATTCATTTATAACCACCAGATAAAGAAAGCTCCAATCTAGGAAATAAATGGGTAGACTATAAAACCTGGAATCCCATTGGTTGATTTTTATGCATAGGTCACAAGTTTCTCAACACATTAATGACAATGACAATGATGTGCTTCAGACAAGTTGACAGGTGGCTTCAAGGCCTAAACAGACATGTTTCAATTTTTGGTGTCTGCCTGAGTCCAGAAATGACCATGCATGCAGACAACATGCCAGTCAAATTTTGTTCCCACTCTGTGCGCCTAGTGCCTAGCTCTGGGACTGGCACAGAACAGATGCCAATTGCATGTACCAAGTAATCAATTGCCATTATCCCTATGCCCCTTTAGTGAATCCCCCACCTCTCTCTCTCTCTCTCTCTCTCTCTCTCTCTCTCTCTCACACACACACACACACACACACACACACATTAATATATGCTTTCTGGGTTCTTGAGCCATGGTGGGAGCTGATACCTGTATGAAATGAATGGTGAGAATTTCTTGCATTACTAAAAACACAATTATTCCCAGAAAAATAGTCCTTCTTTGTAGTTGATTTCATTTGAACACATTGTTCATCATAGCTCTGACTTGGGAAGGTAGGAAAGGCATGAAAGCAGGAACATAACAACTGGGTACATTATATCCACAGGCAAGAAATAGATATGAGAGCTGGTGTTCAACTCTTCCTTCTACTCATGCTCACATTTAGACTGTGTACCCAGTCCTCATTCAGGCGGTTTCTTACTCCACAGGGAAGTCTCACTGGAAGGTGTTCACAGATATAGCCGAAATTGTGTCTCTTAGGACATCAGAAGATCCAGTAAACTTGAAATGAAGATAAACTATCACAATAAATTGTGATAATTGTTTATGTCATTTGCTTTCCTTATTGCTACTAAAACGCCTTTCCTCCAGATGATAACCCTTGTGTGACTCTATGATGATAGCTTATGACTGTAGCCCACAGAACAGATTTAAACTTTTATAATTGACATATTTATTTTGTCATTATGTATGTGCACATGAGTGCACACATGTTATTATATACCACAGTGCACATGTGAATGTCAGCATACAACTTGAAGGAGTCAGTTCTCTCCGCCATGTGGGTTCTAGGGATCAAAATCAGGTTATTCTAAAAGGTATTTATTGGTATCTCATTATGGTATTCATTTATAATTCCTTAATGACATGTGGAGTGAAATATACTTATTTCAAACTGTGCATCTTATTTCAATTTATAGCACATTAGTATGTGCTGATTTTGCTTTAACACATTAGTATGGGTACACATGTTATGTGGGCATGCTTCTCTCTGTGTGTGTGTAAGCCAGAGATGGGCTTTGGATAGTGTTCTTCAGGAACCATTCACTGTTTTTGAGAGAGGGTCTCTCACTGATCCTGGGGCATGCTGATCACACTAGTTTGGCCATTCAGCACACCACAGGCATCTTCCTCTTAACATCCCCCAGTGCTAGATTATAGGCAGGTATTGGCATAGAAGCTTTTCTGTGTTTGCTAGAAGTAGAGTTCAGTCTCTCATGCTTGTGCAATAGCTTCACAGAGTTGTTCAATAACTTCACAGACTGAGCTATTTTCCTACCCATGACTACAATGTATCTTAATCATTTCATAATCCAGACAAAATTGTCACATTTTCAAAAATTCACCTTGTTTGTTTTGCCTATTGCTTCTCATTTTTAGAACAAGTAAGATGTTTTGTGAACTCTAAAATAAAATAAAATATTTGAATCAAGAAGGCAAACTTGGCTTTGGTCCTGCCATCCCTTCAACTAAGTGGTTGTCTAAAAATTCATTTTTTTTTTCAGAACCTCCATATGCTCTGGAAAGTAAAAGGAATGGTGAAGATGATTTGAAAAGTTGTGGTTTTGGTTGATTTTGCTTTTGTATTCTGCATCAACTACTAGAGTGGTCATGTCAACATTCAGGCATCTGAGTCTTTGGATGCCTCCTGATACATTTATCTTGAAAATTTTCCATATTTTGTGTCCAGGTTGAAATGGAGAGCTCTGAAATAGGCTGATACCTAGCAACCAGCTCTCTTCAAATACCTCATTGAATTGTGTTTGCAAAGAGCATCAGGGGAGAGAGTATAGACAGCAAAAATGGTAACCACGCTTCCCTGTTAATTTCATTTGGTGACTCACCCAGTCTGTCATGCGAAGATGGCATTGATCTAAATTGTGACCTTTTCTTCTATCTTCTGTCATTAAAATAATGCCAGTAAAAGGGCAGTGACTCACCACGAAAACAGATTCTTTTTCAGAAAATTAACAAAGCACTATCACGAAGAGCATGGACAAAGGGTCTTTTTATTCACCTTACCTGGTGAGCAAGCAGCTCATTAAGTGCCTCTTCTATAATAGGCTCTGTGCATTCAGTTATTTTGTTGATTTGCTCCTGTTTTGAATTTTCAGGTATTGAATGCACATGGTAATTTTCCACTGAATCAGTTACCAGTCATTATTGCCTCTATAATTCAAAGGGGCTTAGTGGGTTGGTTTTACATTACGAAATAGTTCTCATATGTAATTTATGGATCTGGAGTCTCACATATGCCCATATTAATATTCTGTCTCCATTTCTGTAAGTGGGTACTTGAAGTGATGGGAATGTTGAAATTACTGTTTTCCAATTATTAAATAAGCACATCACTAAGAAGAGAAACCTTGGAGTTCAGGTCTTAAAAATAAGACCTATCAATTATGCAGTTATTTCAACCTGGTCTACTC